GTCCAGCATTTATAACGAAAAAGTATAGCATCCAGTAAACTATTTATGACGAGTAACTCGCTTATTTAACCAGCTTTATACTGCTGGTCATCTAAATCTATAACCAAACATCATTTATTAATACATTTCTATTAGTATTATTGATAAGAATCTGCAACAATAAATAGCAACTAAATGTTTTAAAGTTCAAAAATATAGAACATTAGAAAATGTGATCACTTGACCTCGTTTTGCAGTAACCGTAAGCGGACCACAATATCACCAGCTAGTTTTTTTTAGCTTTATTATTATTATTGTTGTTGTTGTTATTATTAATAGCCATGGATGGTAATTGGGTTGTTACACATTTTTAGCGTGAAACAATAAAAAAAAAACAACTTTTCAACCACACCCAATCACGGTCACGTGGCATGTGACGCGTACGACACATAAAGTGTTATCACGCGAGATTTCCGGTCTTTTTCTCCAGGCAGTAGACAAGCGCGAGCAGCTTTCTTGACTCTCGCCATGCAGTTCATTTTTGTTAAATTATATTCATGTATACATGTTGAGGTTGCTGCTGGTGACCCACCGTGAGCAGGTGAGACTTTGAGGAGCTTTTAATGAGACTTCAATATGTGGAAGTTTTAATTGTGCGTGTGTGCTAGCTGTTAGCTGCTCTTTAGCCGGGTGAACACGTGCAGTGAGTTCACGCCGTCGAAGATTCAGAAAGTGGTGGAATGAGCGTTTCGTTTAAGTAAGGAAACATGCATCATGTTTACTGGCACACAGAATAGAAGCACGATAAATTTGATTATTTACGTTTTTGACGAACCATCTTATGCTGCTTGTGTCACGTTACAGCCAATCACTGATTTAACTTCTCATACAGGTTTGGATGATGCAGAGGGACTCATTTGTCTGCCTGTAAGAGGGCGAAGTTCCATTTCCTGATTTAAGGTAAAACTGGTTAACAGTTACATGCATTTGTGTCAGTGCAGTACACATGATGAACTTGTTATCCCTGTCCGAGAGAACAAAACCTTGTGGAAAACCATGGTATCTGAGCTGCTGTGTTTATTTGTGAAACCCACATGCTGCTGATGGATCCTCACTGATGACCTGTGTTTTTGCAGATTCGTGGCTCATCTGTTCTCCTTCCCACTGAGTGCCTAAGGAAGGAACCACAGTCAAAAGGTTTGTATTGCACTGGATCTTGTGATCTCTGTTGCCACTTGTTCAGTGATGAAAACGGCTGCATAGGAAGTGCCGTCTGATGCGATAACTGACGATGGAAAGCTGTTCTGAGAATCTGCAAAGCTCTTTGCTTTCAGCTTGTGTGATCTGAGCACTCGGTCATCCACATGTTGTTTCCTGGTACAGGTGCTGTAGTAGCAGAAGAAAGGATGGAGATGATTTTCTGGCCTTGAAGACAGCAGGTCCTGAGCAGGTAAATCATGCAAGAGTTGTGATTTTAAAGTCAAGCCAGTGATGATACAAGTTATCCCTGTCTGAACTCAAGTGTGGAGTCATGGTAACCTGAGGCTTGACTGCTGATGTTTTTATAGCAAAGTTTTGCTTGAATATTGTATTGATCATGTTGTATTTTAGTGTTACTTTCTTATTTATTATTTTATTTTCTAACTTGCAGATTGAGCTGGTGTGGAAGGACGGAATACCAACCTCAAGTCTGATGCCAGAGGAGACTATTAAATTCAGTATTTGTCTTTATGAAAGATAAAAACCATGTTGGATCAGGAACGTGTTTTTTAATAAAACTACAATGAGGTATAAAATTGAAGTATAGAAAGTAACGTGATTCCATATGTGCTGGGAGGAAAGCCCAGCATGTGTTGGTCAATCTGTGCTGAAAGATGATCTGTAAGATTTCTTTTTCAGATTTTCTAGAAAAAACTGCTCCTCTTGTAGGTATTCACGGTCCTGTTGGGGACAGAAAAACAAAATCCAGTCAGTCAAAAATCTGAACACTTGAATTATTGACAAATGATTTCAAGCATTGCTGGCCAAATAGTGATTGTATTAAAAAGCTGTGTGCACTGTGATGCCTCATGTTGACTGAGTTTCCAAAGCGCAATAAAAGCCTGTACTGGATCATAACACTTGTGTTTATCTGAAGTCCTTTCTTTTGGATTGTTTGCTGTGGTTCCATTTTTCCCACCAACAGTTTAGCAACAGTTACCAAAATAAAAGATACGAACAAACCTCAATGCAATGAATAACTGAAGACTTGTTATTAAAATCTTAAACAAACTGAAAGAATATATAAACCAGTAAAGTCTGTCTAGGATAAATTTAAAACTAAATGGATTAATAGGTTTCATAAATGTAAAAATTGCTGTCTTTACTACTGAGGCCTGTACTATCCTGGTGACTCCAGGGTTCTATGGTGACTTTGGCTCGTGCTTTGGCAATAATTGTGATTGGTCAGATGCTCAATGCCACTCTTTCCATGTGAAACCCTGGGTTAACTTAGTTGATAACCAGCTTTGCATGACTATTTATCCCAATTGCACATGTTGGGGTAAGGGGACCCAGATAATGGAGAGATACGCTGAACTCTCCTTACAGAACAGTCCCAGTTTTTTGAAGGTTTCTTAATTTTAGGTCAGTAAATTGATAAATATGGAAATAGGAAAGCATTGGGCTGGTTTCAACCTTCCAAAGGTTGCTGCCCATTCTGATTTTGTTTGGCCAGAGCAGACGTTTGTGTTCAAAAGAGTGGTAAACGGACTGGTTTTCTACTCTACCTGAGCCCCAAGGGTACTTTGTCATGCTGCCTGGAGCAGTCAGGGATCAAACCAACAACATTCCAATTAAAAGACAACCTGCTCTACCCTGCTGAGCCACAGCCACCCCAAGGAACATTAAAAATGTAAGTATAGCACGCTGCAGTACAGAAATAAACAGAGGCCATGAAGTCTACGATGTGCAATTTCTTTGGGCAGGTTTTGGGCCAATTACTCAGTCACGCACATTGGCTGCTACTTCTGCACGGAGGTGAATGTGGAATTGGAGCCAGGGTGGTGGGAAGAAGATGTGTTTGGCTTCACTGAAATAGATTTCATCCAAAAACATCCACAAACAATCAGACCTGTGTCTTAATTTAGGATCGAATAAGGTTGGCTCAAATAAGGGTAGAAATTTCACATGTAAGGAAAAATAGAGTATGTGAGCTGCTGTTTGTCAGTTCTGTTTTAGTGATATTTGACATTTTCAACTAAAAATGTGCTCACCTTTTCTGCAGTATATCTCCACAGAGCCAGATTGGCCTGAAGTGCCATAGACTGAGAGCTGGTAAATGAAACTGGAGGAGGAACATTTAGGGTTGCAGGCAGCTCTGAAACTGAGTCTGCAGGGACAGTAACAAAGGCCAATTAGAGATCACAGAAAATGTGTTACTTTAAGCTAGTAGAGAAGACCAACATTCAGCCTCACCTGGTAAAACGGGGGCAATAATTTGTGGTAGAGGTGTAAGAGGAGGGTTTTGACCCAGCCTCTCTGTATCCTTATGCAGGTGACTTAATCGTATTTGCTCCTGTAACAACAAGTGTTAAGATAACCACCACATTCATTCATTTATGTGCTTCATAAAGTGACACACATACCTTTAAAATCCGTTGCTCCTGCTGCCTCAGGTGCTCTGTTTGGGTGTGAATATTTCTCAGTCGCGCCTCGTGCTCCGCCTCCAATCGTTTCGCCTCCTGCAACGCTCGTTCCCCCTCCTCATACTTCTCTGCCGCGAGCTGTGAAGAACACGGTGTAGGGAAAATATGAACACACGATGGACAAAAAACATGTCCAACACACTACACACAGGGATTGGTGTAGTGTGAAATTACCTTGCTGAATGCCTCGACCTCCTGGGCTCGTGTTTTGAGTCTCAGGGCCGTGCTGCTTAGTCTTTCTTTCTCTCTGTCCAGCTCTTCTCTAAGTTCTTCCAGAGCCTCTCGCTCCCGTGCCACAGCAAGTTCCTTCTGTTTCAGCTCGGCCGTGCGAAGCTTCAAGTCAGCTTGCTCCTACAAAAGGTTTTTACATTTTTTGTGTCTTTTCACGACTTGTGTGGGCTAAAGAAATGACCTAAAGCTCAAGCTCACCTGTGCCAGACTTATGATGGAGCCCTCCCTCTTCTCCAACAGACTGCTGACCTCACGCTCAGCCCTCTCATGCCTCTGCTTCTCCTGGGCGTGGAAGAGTGCCCACTCGGCCGCCAGCTTCCTCCTCTCATCCGCGCAGTGCTGCATCACTGACTTCTGCTCCTCCAGTAACGCGCTCTGAAAACACAGAGAAGGCCAAAGAAGCAAGTGAAGGTCAAGCTGCGGCAAGTTGGTGCAAAACACCTGCGTTGCTGCTGAAGATGTTCGTTGGCCTCACCTTGGCTCTCTCCAGCTCCTCGCGCTCCACGCTGATCTGCGTGGTGAGGACACACCGCTCTTCCTCCAGGCTTCTTTGGGTCGACTCGGCTTTGGCCTGCTCTGCTGTCATCTTCCAGCGCTCCTAAAGCATGCAAAATTAAATGGCATCTTCAGTCTTTAATGAGAAGAAGGTCAGTTTATATTATAGGAGGGGGGTTTAGCTGTTTTCCTCACACTTATAAAGTATAGTTTAAAAATGAATAAGTAGGATGCTCTGAGCATCTTAGAGAACCTGCCAAAGGACAGAAGACCACTGTTTATGACTGTGG